TCCCGGCTAAAATTCGCCCTTAGCGACTGATGACCCAAGGGTGCATTCGTTCGCGTTACTAATTTTCTCGGACGGTTAAATTTGAAATGATTTGTAGACTCGCTTAAAAGACTAATTTACAGTCGAGTATTTACAACCAATAACTAGGGTCATTAGCATTTCTGTCGCTAATTACCCTTATAATTGTGCTTACGAATGAACTAAAGGGAGTAATGATCTCGACTTAAATTATACTCGACATACATTTGTGATGATGTATTTATATCGCTATAAATCGTTCCAATTTAATTAAAGATAATGAGGCCGCTGCCCACGTTCTGGGAGTAATTATGTTAATGATAATCATGATTGAAAAATATACACTTGTCATACTAGTAGTAATGATAACGATGATAGATATTATATTGATGATAATGATAACTGTAATGCTGATAGTGGAAACAATAACGGTAATGATAGTAATGATAATCATAATAATGATAATAATAATCATGATAAAATAATGATAATGATAATTATAATAATGATAAAAGCAATAACGATAATTATAATAATGACAAGATTAATGATACTAATGATAATGATGATAATCATAATAATAAATAAGATATTAGAAATGATAATGGACGTGATAATAATTTTTTAAAGAGTTGATGATCAAATTATTATGATAAGATTTTAACAAATAATGGTAATAATTGATAATAATGATGATGATAACATATAATACCAATAACAGTATAAGTAAATCTTTTCATTATTATGATTATCATTATCATCTATATATATAAATATATACACATATATACAATATGTATATATGTGAGTATATATATATTATATATATATAATAATATATATATATATATATATATATATATATATATATACAAATGTATGCATGTATATACAAATATCGTGTGCTCACAAATTTGTGAGCACACGATATATAGGCCTATATGCGTATATATTTATATCTTATAAATATATATATATAATATATATATTATTATATATATATATATATGCATGTATGTATGTATGTATATGTATATATGTATGTATAACGCAAAACTAAAGAAATAAGGTGTTTATAAGTTAGGCATCAACAAAATTTTATGTCGTAGTCGCTGCTCGTCGCCTCCTTGAGTGTCGAACAGAATAATAATGATATTAATAACGATAACAATAATGATGATGACAAATAATACCAATGACAGTATGAGTAAATATTTTCATTATTATGATTATCATTATCATCTTTATCATTACCATCATTATTATGATTATCATTATCATCTTTATCATTACCATCATTATTATGATTATCATTATCATCTTTATCATTACCATCATTATTATGATTATCATTATCATCTTTTCATTACCATCATTATTATGATTATCATTGTCATCTTTATCATTACCATCATTATCATAATTATCAAAACAAAAAATAGCATTAGTTATGATAACATCAAAATTAGCAATACAACACGTTAATACTACGAATGATGTTAATGAAAATAATGATAACAATGATTATGGAAGATGATAAGAGTAATAATGATAACAATGATAGTGTTAATGGTAATATCAAATATTATGATAAGTGTAATAATTGTCGTAATGATAGATAATGATACGATGATGTTAATGATGAAAAAATAAAAGTATGACTGTAAATATGACAATAATAATAATGATAATGACAGTAGTAATAATAATGATAATAGTACTAATGATGACGATGATGATGACGTTAGTAATATTACTGATAATAAGGATGTTGATAGCGATAATGATAAAAAGCAGTAGTAGAAATGATAGCATTAATATGGACAGAAATAATAATATTAATGTGGGAAAGTAATAATGATATTAATAGTAATATCAATATTGATAATCATTATCATCATTGTTATGATAATAATTATAATAATAGTGATAGTAATAACAGCAATAATGATAATAATAATAGTAACAATAATAATAACAACAACAATAATAATGATAATCATAATGATAGTGATGATGGTGGGGATAATAGTAATGATAATAATGATGATTAAGAATAAGAATATCATAATAATGGTAGTGAAAATAATGATAATGATAATAAGGACAATGATGAAAATCATAATTATAGTGATGATAATGATATCAATAACCATAATGATAATAACAAGGAATTAATGATGACAGTAATAAAAAAGTGATAATGACATCACTAATAATGAAAATAATAATGATAATGATGATAATAGTGTTTATAGATAATGAGAATGATAACATTAAAGAAATGATAATATTAAAAACAGTGATGATTATTAATGACATTAATGATAATCATAGTAATGATGCAAATATCTTTAATAACAACAATAATATTGATAATGACGAGGATGATAATTACAAAATGATAATGCAAGATTAATTAGAATAATCATGATTATGATAATGAAAATGATAGGGACAGTAATAGTAATAATAATGATAATAATAATAATAATAATGATAATAATAATAATAATGATTGTTAGTATTACTGTTATCCTTATTATTATAATTGTTATTATTATCATCATATTTTGCTATCATTATCATTGTTATTATATTATTGCTATTATTATCATTATTATTGCTGTTACTATTATCATCATCCCTTTTATTATTATTATTTATGATGATGATTATAATAATGATGATAGTAGAGATATGATATGATTAATAACCATAATGTTAACCATATTACAATGTCAATGATAACAGTAATGATGATGATAATGATAAAAATAACATTATAATAACAATATTGATCATTCTAATGATACTCATGGCAATACCGATAATAATGACAATGATGATAGTAGCAATGATAATGATAATAATAATGATAATAATAGCAGTAACAATGACGATAAGAATAACGATAGTAATAATCATTACATATAATAAAAAGAAGAATAGTGATAATAATAAAAAGAAGAATAGTGACAATAATGATAATAATAATAATAATAATAGTAATGATAATGATAATAATAATGATAATAATGATAGTGGAAAATAAAAGTGATAATGATGATGATAGTAATGATAATCATATTGATAATGATGATAATGATAACGTTGATAATAATGATAATAATAATAATAATATAATAATAATAATAATAATAATAATAATAATGATATCAATGGTAATAATATAATGATATGATATTATAAAAATGATAAAGATAATGATGATAATAACAACAATGATAATAATAACATAAATCATTATCATTAACATTGTTATAATGATAAGAATAACAGTAAATATCAATAACATTGATAATGAGAAGGATAATAATAATTATAGTGATAATAATGATAATCATAATGATGACGACGATGATGATGATGGTGATGATAATAATGATAATGATAATTGATAGACAATAATGATAATAACATTGATAATTAAAATAATAATGGTAATAAAGATAACAGTAATAATGATAACAATTGCCATAATGATAATGACAATTATTAATTATGGGTAATTATGATATTAGTAATGAAAACAATAATCATAATGATAACAGAAATTATAATGATAATGATAATAATAATAATGATAAATATAATCATATAATGTAGATGATATTAGCAAATGCAGTCTAATGATAACGATAGTAATGATAATGGTAATAATGATAATAATAATGATCATCATTATCATAATTATCATAAGTATCATCTTTATCATTTTTTAGATTATTATTGTTGTTGTTATCATTGTCGTTATTATTGATATATCTTTTATGATTATCATTGTTATCATTACTATTATTAATATTGTTATTATTATTATTATTATTGTTGTTATCATTATTATTTTATCATTATTAGTATTAGTATTGTTATTATCACCTTGAATTTCACCATTATCATTATTATTATTATTCATATTATTCTTAAAATTCTTCATATTATCATTATCATTATCATAATAATAATAGCAACAACAATAGTGATAATAAAAATGGTGATAATAATAACAATAATAACAATAAGTGATAATGATAACAATAATGATAATTGTTATTAGTATCATCATTATTGATAATATCATTATTATTATGATTATCATGAGTGCTACAATCATTATCATCATTATCCTTATTCTGATCATTATAATTATTACTATTATTAATGATATTATCGTCATTATTATCATTATCATCATCTTCACTGTCATTATTATTATTACTATCATTACTATTTTGATTTGTCCTGATTGTTATTATCCTCATCATTATCATTACTGATATTGTTATTACTATTTTCATTATCATCATCATCACTGTTATTGTTATTGTTGATACTATGATTATTAGTATCGTCGTTGTGTTATTACTATTATTATTGTTATTATTATTATCATTGTTATTATTATTATTATTATTATTATTATTATAATAGTAATTATTATTATTGTTATTATCATTATGATTATGATTATTATTATTATTACTATTATTATTATTGTTATTGTTATTATCATTATCATTTTTACCATTACTATCATTATTATTATCATCATTTATGTCATTATGGCTATTATTTCTATTTGCTATCATTATCATTATTATTACTATTGTTATCATTATTATTATTATTATTATTATTATCAGTGTTGTTATTGTTATCGTTATTAATATTTTTGTCATTATTACTATTACTATTATTATTCATTATTGCTACTATCATCATCATTATTATCATCATTATCATCATCATTATTATTGTTGTTGTTGCTATTACTATCATCATTATCATTTTGTTATAATAATCATTATTATTTATATCATTATATGTATATGATCATCATCATTATGATTAGTGTCATCATCATTATTGTTTTCATTATCATCATTA